TCAGGTTGTAAATCGTGTTTTTAAAAAGTAACTAAGTAATTAATTACTTTTGAAAATAAGTAATCAGTAAAGTAACGGGATTACTTTTGGGGGGGGAAGTAATCAGTAATTAGTTACTGATTACTTTTTTCAAGTAACTTGACCAACACTGGTCAGGAGCCTTGCGGAGTAATCTGGGTCCTAAACTCCGTCAACTTCAGGTCCCAAAGTCAAACGAACACTGTGGCATCACTGAGCATTGAAAACTGTCTAAATTCTTTCACCTTTAATAAAACGATCAGCGTTGCTGCTTTACCAGGTGTAACAATTAAGTTAACATCCAGGCGTCCATGAAAACAGGATTTATTACATTTAACAGAGTTGTCCTAGATGATTAAACATGCAACTATTTTGCTGGTAATACCTGAAATGAGTAATGAGGGGGGGGGGTCATAACCAACCTAACCCCCCTGGAAATTACGCCCCTGACTGAAGTTGGGCTAGCTGGTGTATAATGATGTGCTATGGGATCGCTAGCAACACAGCTATGTTAGCATAACATAAGCAGTGAAGCTGCAGGATGAACGCTAACCTTTTTCCACTCGATAAAAGTTAACGTGAAGGTTCCTGATGGTTAGAGACAAATGCAATCGCATGGCAGGATGCTATACACGGACCAAACTTCAGCCAGGAGAACAACTGAGATCATCCATCCACAATACGAGGTTAGTCATTAATGTACTGCAACATGGGAATAGAGCAGCTGCCAGAGGATTCAGAATTAATGAATCAATGGCACAGAAGTGGAGGAAGCAAGAAGAATGAGTTGAGTAATGTTTGACTTCTCTGATTTTGTTTCGCCTTATGTATGAAAACAGACCCGTTCATCGGCAGCGTGCCTTATAATCCATGCGCCTTCTGGTCTGAAAACTATGGTATTTGTAGGGGCCTCTAAACCTATTGCTCTACATACCACAGCAGTATGGTGGTCCAGTGTTCTTTCCTCATGTGTTAGACATCAGTCCAGCTGTTTCCCAGCTGTGTTCCAGCTTCGACATGTTGTATTCATGTAACATAAATAATGCAGCTGAGTTTACTGATGAAAACAGATTCAGTTTTATCTCAGGCTAAAGAACGAGTCTTTAAAGGAACTATCCGAGTTGCCTTGCCGTGCTGGAACACCACATTGCACTGCCAGAGGGTTTCCAGAGTAAGGTCAGGTTTAATAAGAGGGCTGAAGGGGCAGCAGACATGGGGAGCACAGTGGAGCAGTGATTAGCACTGATGTGTCACAACTAAAGGCTCCTGGTTCAGAGCTGTGTGCGGTACGTGTTTGTGGTTTGAAATGTGCCAGTACTGTGATGCAGGTGTGGGGGGATAGTTGGGTGTGGCTTCTAGTCCAAGGTGTCCACAGCATGAACACTGACACACGACTGCAGTGCTGCTGGAGTTGAGCAGAAAAACACAAAATGTAGAAACGCGATGGCGCTTAGAGCTCGACCTGAGGATGGCTGTGTGTAACTGCGTGGCTCTAGCATGTTACACACAGGACGCTGCCTCGGCCTGAGACAGGCAGACTGCGATTTACCATCAGCTGCTGAAGATGGCCTTTCTGTTGGCAAGAAGGAATAGCTATTGAGGTCGCTGCCATTACAAGCAGCTTTTCCACACTTCGATCCTGTGGAGCTGCAGATATTCAATAAAGTCAAACAGGTGGAAGCAAGAAACTCAACTTTAGCTCCAGTTAATGTTTGTCAGACACACATTCGGCTATTTTTACTTGCCAGTATCATGAAAACCACCAGAGAAGGGTCGGTGCGTGTGCTGAACGCTGGGAGAAGCCTAATACTGAGAGCCTGCCTCGGGTGAAGAATGCCTGACACTACTTATTTAAATGCTTGGCTGTGATGTGCATGAATGTGTCCCAGCACAAACAGTAACACCCGGCACCCTCAGCAAGCTTCATTCATAAACAGCAAACTGAGCTGATTCTAATGTAGTTTAGTTATTAAGCTTTGTCAGTCACTCTTATATCAAATATCGTGTGGGTGCTCATTTTAAACTGTTGGGACTTGTTTTAATGAATGCACACAGTATCGTGTGTCTTCAGTCGGTCTCTGTAAAGCACTTTGTCCGGCTCTGGGAAAAGCTGCAGGTTTCAGGAAGCAGCAGCTACCTCTTTTTTATCCTCCTCCGTCTTCTTTTCCTCCTCGTCCTCCGTTTGTTCCGTTGCCGTCCTGTTTTGCGTGCATTCAGTCAGTTTCACAGCTCGCTCTCGTCTCTGAAGAACATCGAGCCACTCCTGTAAAGTAAGACAATCACCGTCACGTGGCGGTCAAACCAAACCCATCTAGCGTGACCTCTGACCTGCCGTCTGTGTCACCTGCACATCCTCTCCCAACAGCCACTCCTGTGTCAGGCTGCAGCCTGATCTGTGCTGAGGGATTTCCCATGATGCTTTACTGATTTCTATTCTGCCCCCTCTCGTACTGATTGCATGCTCGTTACCTCACAGCACAAAGCACTTTGCTGCTGTGTTTGAGTAAAAATCTGATTTAACTGAATTGAATAATGCTTCAACAATAATAATAATAATAAAAATTGATGTATTTTTTGTATACTTTGTTTTTCCTTTCTCTGATTTTGTCTCTACATTATTTCTTTGCTTACTTTTCTTTTAGAGCCACTTAGTGTAGGAATTCTGTATTAATTCCCAGGAGATCCTGAATTGTTTAAGGTGAGCAGGGGTCAGATGCAGCAAGGCAGCATCATTGCACACATTCAATTCAGAATGGGCTGATATTTTCTCTTGATATGTTTCTATGTTCTATTATTATTATTCTACTATTATTAATAAAATCTGGCTTTATGAGGTTTCCAAATCACTGGATTCTGGTTTCATCTATATTCCACACAGCTACACAACCTTTTCACAGTTGGGTTGTATTTGGCAGCATGGAGCCGTTTTCAGCAGTTGTTATTCTGGGATTCATGACTTTATTCAGAGCAAAGTATAAAACATGACACTTCCTCCTCACACTGCTGAATATTAGAATGGAAATGTGCCAAAGCTGAGCAACCATGAAAAGTTACAGTCATTTAGTATTTCATGGTGACACACTGAATATGCCACGGCTCCAAGGTTCCACCGTTTAAACTCACAGCTTCAAAAAGGGAGGAAATAAAAAAGGGGATAATTTATGGGGAATGATCAGAGGAGCAGGGTCCAGGAACCAGGCTCTGAGTTTGCTAACTGTGAGATGAGGAAGAGACAAAGAGTTAAGCTCAACTCTGCATCAGTTACTGTGGTACTCAACCTGCTGGCCGGCAGGTTTTCTTTAACAAATTCGGAGTTTCTCCCTGACTCCGCCTTCCTGCTGCAGCTGAACCAGCTGACGGACACCCCTGTTCACAGAATTCATGTGTTTACAAACGTTGAAATCTTAGTTAGATGTTAGTTATTTTTCTTTTTAACAAGTGCTTTTATAATCAATGAGCCATCAGTGTAAGCGCAGAGACAGCGCTCACATCAGGGATTTATTATAGTCTCTGTGAGTCTGTGCACAACTTGAACTTCAGTATCTTGCCCGAGGATGTTTCAGCAGGTGGACTGGAGGAGACAGGTTCGATTATCTACTCTACAAGCTGAGTACAGCTGCTCAGCCCTACTAACTTACCACAGTGGCTTAAAAAACAATCGATGTGATATACTGTAACGTAACTGATGAGACGATTACTAACATGAAACATGGTCATACCTGTGGTCTCAGTTGATCCTCCTGAAGTTCCAGGAAGTGGTTACATTCCACTCTGGCCAAGAGCAGCTCAAAACCAACGAGCATGGCTTTGTCTGCATTAACATCCTCACTGAGCCTGTACTCACTGAAATGCATCAAACAGAACAGAGACAAAGTGATGAGGAGAGCAGAACCACAGACGACTGGGTGGCTGCAGCTGTGCGGGTAGAGTCTGCTAATCGCAAGGTTGATCCCTGTCTGCCAATTATTCTTGGGCAAGATACTGCAGGTTGGGCTCTGATGCATCCATCACAGTGCAAATCTTAGATAGAAAGCACTTAGGTACAGATAGTGTGTAAAATCTGAACTCGGGTTTTTACTTGGTCTCAGGAACCTTTGTAAGAAAAGTGATCCTATGAAAGTCAAGTCAAAGAACCTCGGCTGACCAAGGCGTGTGCTGGAGGTCAATAAAATAAAATATATTTATAAAAAAATATCCATCCATTCGCTTCCGCTCATCCTTTTCAGGGTCGCGGGGCGCTGGAGCCTATCCCAGCTGTCATATAAAAATATATTAAAAAGAACAAAATCACACTGTCTCCAGCTGCCTGCTGTGTTTTGGAGTCATTTATTCTGAGAGGGACACATGTGATATATGAACAAGCTGAGTGTCTTGGCACATGAAAACATTCTTGGGGAATTTTTGGAAAGCTTTGTATACACGTTGTGTCACCAGGTGTCGCTTGTTACGTGTCCACGTGTGGAATTAAAGTGGTAAATGAGCTGGACTTTTCTATTCTGAGCACTCAAACTGCTCTCTACTACAAGCCTCACTCGGTCACACATTCAGACCTGAGCACCAGTGGAATATTCACTCACACACAGCTTTGGGATGGCGTCCATTTAACCCGCTCTACCTCCTGAGCCACAGCCACCCTAAGGAGTCTACGTTTGTCCTGACAAAGAGCTGTGCAAGGCTGCGACCTTGTGGATTAATGTCGACAGTTGGTGCGTCGCTCTTGCGCTGGTTCTTACCATTGTTTGGGGTCTGTATGAGGCACATAACCAATGGAGGCCAGGACAGACTGTATGGTGGAATTGCTGAAAACTGGCTCAAGACAGTAAACAAATGGAGCCGTAAATGTCTGAAAGAGAAAGAAAACACAAACACGGTTCATCTGATAGTACACAGGCTCAGTGATCACTTCCGTTTGGCCTGACACAGCTGTGAGCAGAAAAAAGATAAGCGTCACTGGGCTGTTGTGTGTCCACTCACTGCTACACAAGCAGATGTTGTGACACGGTGTGGTTCAGCTGAATGACATCTGCAGTCACAGTGTAACATGTCAAACGAGTATCAAGTGTACTCCTGTACAGAGCCGCTGTGCGGGAAACGCGGCGCGTCTTCTGACCTTTAGTGTCCTGATTTCCTTCTTCCATGGCTGCAGGAACAGGTTGACGCACAGAGTTTCCAGCACTTCTGAGGCTCTGATGAAGGCGGACAGGTGTTTCCTGAAGTCGCTCTGAGCCTCACAGCGCTCAGTCACAGCCTGGTAAAAGGGGAACATTGTGAAAGTCCCGCCGGTCTCCGCCTCGCTCAGTAGATACTGAGCCGCCCTGTTCAGCAGCTGGGGGTCGCGGCACGGCCCGACCTCTGCCCGCTCCTCCAGGTAACACTTGACATAGTCCGCGTACACGTCCCCGCGGGAAGGAGCCGGCCCTCCTGCTCCGGTACCGTCCTTCATGACCGCCACAGCGACGAGCCCCACCACCTCGGACTAACGAGGAAGTGTGGCAGTCCGACAGCACGACGAGGAAGTGAAAGCGACAGCGGCTCCTCCTCACGCCGTGTGCGGCACAGAGCGGCAGACTGGGAGCCACCGTGCCCGCCGACTACTGTCTCACACTACAGCTTCCCCGGGGCCAGGAACCACGCGGTTTGGACTGCTGCTTCTCACTGATACAAGGACGTGTTCGGTGTCGGGAGTGCTGAAGTAACGGTCAACTCATTTGCTTTATGACAAATTCATATTTCGAGCTTTTCAAACTACATCGCAAAACGTACCGGTGTGTTCTGATGTTTCCCAAATCTCAAGAAAGGCTGTTTTATTTTGAAAATAATCACCCGGATGTGATCATTTTCGTTTCCGGGACAACTGTGTGTCGCACTCGTGTTGGTGGTAAGGCTGTTTCCCCGTGCCTGTAAAAGCCACGCGTGAGAAACCGCGTGGTGACGGGGTTGTGTTTTAATGCCGTCCAGCTGATACAAGCCGGACATCCACCCTTTAAAGCCCGCGAACAGGAGCGCCCTCCATACTTTGATCGTGAGTCACGTTTTTGCAGGAGCCGTTTAGACTTTTGTTTGGTCCGCTACGCTTGAGTCTGTGCCTCTTTCATACGTGGGTGCTTAAAAACACGCGAGTGGCCGTACAGCTGTGCCCACACTCACAGCTCTTGTTTTCTAGCCGTCCCTGCCTGATGAATGTCGCTGTCACAGAGTCGCTTCTGATCACCTGGATGTGCTGAAGAAATCATAGAGATGAGATGAAACGGCACTTGCAGATGAACAGGAGTTCCTTCTGGGATGCTTGAAGGTGGTGAAGGAAAGAAACAATAAGAGCCAGGCCACCGTCTGTCCCAGAGCTAACACTGCTGAGTGAAAAATCAGATTTCTGCTGCAAACTGTGTAGAAAATTGTCCAAATAAAGAAATTGGTAAAAATGGTAAATGGCCTGTATTTATATAGTGCTTTACTCGTCCCTAAGGACCCAAAGCGCTTTACACTACATCCAGTCATCCACCCATTCACACACTGGTGATGGCAGCTACATTGTAGCCACAGCCACCCTGGGGCGCACTGACAGAGGCGAGGCTGCCGGACACTGGCGCCACCGGGCCCTCTGACCACCACCAGTAGGCAACGGGTGAAGTGTCTTGCCCAAAGACACAACGACCGAGACTGTCCGAGCCGGGGCTCGAACCGGCAACCTTCCGATTACAAGGCGAACTCCCAACTCTTGAGCCACGATCGGCCCAAATTGGAGAAACGATGCTCCTAACAGAAAGCAATGAATGAACAGATAATAACACCGGTTATTATTGGCGCAGTGAGGGGCGGAGCGGGCTTGTCTCTGGTTGCGTTTTTGGAAAAACAATAACATGAAGACTTTGATGAAGTTCGGTGTAAATGTGATGTATCATAGTTTAATACGAGGCTAGTAAAGGCGCCGTGGGGACATAGTGGTTGTAAGTTTTCACAGAAAGCTGGACACAGTGCTTTTCTGTTGTAAAAGTGTAAAATGACGCTGTGGTTACCATGGTTACTAAAGCTGAGGGTGTGTCCTGCAGCAGGCGCGGAGAAGGCATGAAGGGCCACGGCGGCGGGTGGCAGGACGGTCGCCTCAGACAAAGAGTTGAGCAGGTACGTGTCTCTCCTCAGTCACCGGTGCGACCAAGACCAGTATAAAGTAATCAGATTACATGTTACTGAAACCAATGATGTCATCATTTGTGTTGCATGAGTTCTTTGAGCATCTGCTGTGTGTGTGTGTGTGTGTGTGTGTGAGACCCTGGCACTGCTTCACACTGTGTGGCCATCATCGAGCTGTCAAAACTATTGATGTTCCATAAATATAATGCCAGCGAGTGGATTTCATGATGTTTCCTGGTGATTTTCCTTGTGTCCACCACTTTGGTTACATGAATGTTGAACTGTGTTTTCAGTATCTGGGCTCCAGCAGCAGTGAATATGTGGATCTGTCAGCCATGGCCCTGGACCTTCAGAAACTGTACAGGCGAGTCATCTGTCCTGGCTCAAATAAGACACTCGAGCTTGTTCCACAAAGCTGAGATCTGCACGGCTGGTTCCAGTGAAGATATGTGGTGGTGTAAAAGCCCTGCATGTTGACTCTTCTTTGTCTGTGTTAAATCAGCTCTATTTTAATGCTTGAGTGGCTGACATGGTTTTAATGCATCACACTGCAGACCTGCATCTGTGAGGTTGGCTAATATCTGAAATTTCTGAGCACATTTTCACAGACACTGATAACAGTGACACATACGGTCACTGGACTTGTCAGTTTGACAAATCTGGTCCTTAGTGGGTCTTAGAGTGGGGTCAGTGCTCATAAGGAGCTTGTTGGAGTTCCTTCAGCAGCAATAAGCTGAAGTAAAGGTGTTCTCCATCATTCTGTCATCATTGTGGATGAAGTTCTGTTCTCTGAGGTTTGCAGGCATGTGTTTGAAATGACCCTGTAACCTGTGTCAGACCGATGGGCAGCAGATCATTGCTGATGTCCTTCCACCTTGGCATTGTGTTAACACACACCTGAGTGCTGCTGTGTTCACACTGATCAGCTCATCAGCACCTGGCTGCTGCTGACCTCCCTCGTCCCTGTCAGAGTGTTACGCCGTGCTTTTTTCCTATTCGCTGCATCGGGCTTCATTTTTGTTAAAAAGAAATATGACATGTGGTTCTTTATTTCATTTTCAGACTTGGTAAAGACCAGATTGTTTTTTGTTTTTATCATGGCCTGAAAACCTTACTACTGAAAGGGGTTGTACCTCCTCTTTCACACCACTGAGCTCACTGAGGAGAGCAGAACAAGGTGTACAAAGACTCTGGAAACTCCGTCTTTGGGTTGAGAAAATCAGTGAAGAAACATCTGATCATTAGTCCATTGTTTATTGTCACAGAAAGCGTGAATCAGTTGTCTTTCCTGTGTCTGGTAGTCCGTTATATTAATTAGCTTCACCACTTTTTAATTACATTCCTTTTACATGCATGAGGTGAAGGACGGCTGGGATAGAATTGAAAATGCACATAAATCTGAGTCCGTGTCGGCCTTAGGTGCTTCCACCGCTTTGGTCCTGGTGACATGAAGTTATTGTGTCTTTAGGATGGACTATGGCAGAAGAAACAAGACGGCGTTCAGGATCCAGGTAGAGAAAGGTAAGAGAGCACGGTCTGTGTGGTTCTGCTGTTTGGACACATCTCCATTGATATTGAAGGATGAATGATTCCACTGTAGCAGCAGGCTGGTTAAGGATGATCATGTTGAACCTTTTTAATGAAAAACAGGCAGGATCATTCAGGTTTTCCATCACAGGAAGTCTTGTCGTGCAGCGATATGACAAAAGCCCAGATGACCTCTGCAGCTTGTGTGTGTCTGTTACAGCCTAATGATTGTGCGCTCAGTTTGACATGTATGGCTTTTCTAGTGTATGAAGCAGTCATTAAGGATTCTGGGCTGAACGAGCTGGAGAGCAAACACCTGGCTAAGAGAGCCAAGCACAGCCACCGTGACACTGGGTGAGGCCCTCTGCTTGTTGTGTCCTCTGCTGTCCTTCTGCTCTTTAAATGTGTAATTGATGTGCTCTAAATCTGTGTTTACAGTGACGAGAGTGGTAGCAGCAGCTCAGAGGAGGCTTCTGACAGTAATGAGAACATTGTAAGCACTAATTAGTGATGCGTGTGTGTGTGTGTGTGTGGATGCTCAGTCATCCAGGTAAGGAAATCCCAAAAAGTTGATTCTTTTCTCTGAACAGAATTTTAACCGACTTTAGCAAGGACTGCCTAAAGCTAGCACATGTGCACGAGCAAACAGCACCACTCATGGCTGCACCTGAGATTCAGATGCAGACAAAGCAGGATTACTCCTAAAAGTCTGCAAATGCAATCTTCATTTAAGGCTTCCCAGCAACAAAAATGCCCCAGAACCAGCTGCTCAGTGAACGGGTGAGACAGATTTGACATGCTAAAATTAAAAGAGATCCGACAGAGATCTTCTCGATGAGAGTAGCAAAAAGTGGAGAAAAACATCCTCGCAAAAGCTGCGAAAACTTTGTTGTGACGCCGAGGCAAAGCAGAGCTGCTGCGGACAAAAGCTTCAACTTGTCCCAGCAATGCAAAGCGCCCAGCATCCAACATCTGCATGGAGGAAAGGAAGGCACTCGCATCCCTTAGTAATGACAACAACAGTATCATGCTCTGAACACCACATCCAGAACACCCTGGATTTTATTGAGATGTCATTATGGAGGCAGAGGAAACAATAGTTCGATGGTCAGTGGTCATGATTTACATGTTAATGATGAAGAAGCTGAGCTCACAGCCCGTTGTTACTCACCGTGCAAATGTTCAGCTGAGACTGAACACGTCACCTGATGAGTGACGAAAACATCCAGATGAACAGAATCAACTTCTTGGGGCAGCGTGTGTGCGTGCGTGTGTGCGTGCGTGTGTGCGTGTGTGTGCGTGCGTGCGTGCGTGCGTGTGTGTGCGTGTGTGTGTGTGCGTGTGTGTGTGCGTGCGTGTGTGCGTGCGTGTGTACGTGCTATAAGTCAATGGTGTCAGACCCAGTGTGAGGCTATAATCCCCTGTTGCTAGGAGAAACCTTGTGGTGTGTGTGTGTGTGTTTGCCTTTATAAACTGCAAGATTAACAGAAAAAGAAAACACACACACTATCAATCTGCTGGTTTTGCACTTATGAACACACTGCTTTGGCCACCATGGAGAAGCCTGACCCTCTGTGGGGCTGGGACAATTCTGTTTTAAGTATACAAGGATATAATTATAAATAAATGATGGTCAGTGTTTTT